CTGGCATTAGCTGGACAGGGCTTTGTGTATCCGTCCACAAACTTCTTTGGGTCCCAAAGTCACCATCATCTCAGCCACGCTCGGCCCATGCTGCAAACACAGGAGAAGTCATTGCACAGATGGAAACTTACACTTTTCAGCACGTGCTTATGCATCACCACGACGGAAGCGATAGAGTGATGAGCTATCAGATTGCTGTTAGACCAAGGGTGGGGGTTTATTACCAAGCTCAAAACAAGGCTTTGGGGTGTTTTTTTCCTCCTGAAGTAAAACACTAAGTAAGAGTGGTCAAAGTGACACAGAAGGATTGATGCCAGAGTGTAAGCCAGGGCTGGGCTTTGAAGAACTTCAGTGAAACCTGGGTTTGATCTATGTCAAAGCAGGCTGCACATAAAATCCTAGTTTTGCCCAACACCTACATCCCTGCCAACACTCCCTTCAGCTTCTCTGACTTCAGATCTGTGACTAAGCACATTCATGCTTTGACAACTTCTGCCTGAGACTTTCAGAACAGCTCTTTCTTCCAGAACTGCTGCGTATCGGTGCATTTCCTTGTAACAGGAACTGCTGCCAGTTGCTCTGAGATGTCAGGCACCAATATCTGCTATCAAAGATAAGACAGCTGATAAAAAAAGAATGTCACAGTCTCAGAATGTGTATGTTTTACCTGCTGCCCACTGAGAGCCAAGCGAAGGAGCTGCATCACGTTGCTGTACTTTGTCTCTTTGATTTGCTTGTGGAGGCTTCTCAGGTCTTTGTTCAGCTCCTCCATGGTCAAAACAGCCGCCTGCCTTGTCATGAGCCTTTAGGAGAGAAGATGTCCTCAGAGTCTAGGGACACACAACCCGCAGGATTCCTACCCAGAAGTGGCTGGTTCAGCAAAGCAAGCATCAAGTTTAAATCACAGAATTATACCAAGGACCTGGAAAACCATAGGAAAAGCAGTAATTCTGATTTCTTCTTTAATGATCTGATTTTCAGAGATGCAGGAGCCATCACTGATGGTAGGAGCACTACTATCCCTCCAGGATAGTGCAATTCTGACATTTAAATTACCATCATGTGGATTCAGTGACAGTGACAAATGACTGAGGGCAACCAGCTTTACAGAGAGCTGGAAATAACAGCTCAATTTTCAGCTACTGCCACCTCCATCACTCCCAAAACAGATTTTGAGGGCTCCTTTCAGGCCAGATGTGAGATCTGAACTGGAAGGGTGACTGACACACCACCTGCCTAGCTGCAAGTGGTGGAGTAGCAGAGGGACATGGCCCAGAAGGACTGTCTGCACATCCCAAAGTAGAACAAATTCAGTAAGAACTGTGAGCATGCCCCACATCAATACAGCAGCCAAGAGCAATGCTCTGGGGCGGGCAGGCAGCTGTGCACAGAGCTGGGAAGAGACACGTACCCTAAGACCAGTTTTCCTATTTCATCTACTTCTGCAGACATAGTTTGTAGCTGCTCTCGGGACACCGAGGGCCTGACCCATAGGTAAGAATAATCACTGGACACCAGATTCTTCAGGAAGCTTATGTGACCCTGGAGAAAGAAAGCAAAGCTGTCAAAGCCAAGGGTTAAGCTGTGGGGAAGCAAAGCAAACCTCTTCAGTCTGGACCTCAGGACCAGTTAAGAGCAGTGGGGTGCTGGCAGGCAGTGTGCACACCACCACTGGGGCTGCAGGGACAGCCACCTGCAGGCTGCGCTGCTCTGGAGCTCACATCAAAGCAGGACTCAGCTGCGTCTCACCCAGGAATGGCACAAAGCCTCAGCCCCCCCCAGCAGCGACACGGTGCTACCACTGCTCCTACCTTTCTCAGCAGGAGGACTCGTTCCACATAGTCCTTTTCTAGAACCTCTTGATCCACTTGCTGCCCCCCATAGGTGTGCTCCACCAGCAGCTGCAGCTCTCTGATCAGCTTCTGTCGCAGCCCTTCGTTCTCAATGTGACGGGTGAGGTGAATCCTGCAACAGAGAAAACTGCTTTTGGATTGCATCCTGAGCTCACATTTACCTCGTAAACCTGCAGCACTGTTAGAAAAGCAGCATTAAACCACATTCTACAACAAAGCATTCAGCTCTCATGCATCACAGTGAATGAAAGGTAACTCCTAGCAGCAGAACATCCTTGTAGCACATGAGTGTACTTACAGAACTTGCCTCTTTTTAGATGCTGTTTTGAAACTGAACTGAAGACCTTGCATCCCCCTAACTACACCTACCCTCTGCCTAGGTGTTCAGTGTGTTCCTGACACCAGTGTCCAAGCACAGGACAGGAGAGGAGGTGGGAAGCACCTGCAAGCAGGCATTTTAACTTCACTGCAGCACAGCCAAAAAGCTGCTGCACAGAGACCATGCTTGACCCAATAAAATCTCCAGGCAGAGCCAAGTGCTAGGAATAAACTCTCACTGACATACCCGTTATCATGTTTAAAGTTACCACTGGTATTTATACCTGTTGAATTCCGGGAGCTTTTCAAGATCCAGGAGGGCAGAATGGGTGGTAATTCTGTCTATTTCAAACTGTGAGATCAGCTCCTTCAAGGTCCTCCCCATCTGGTTCTCTGCAAAAGAAGCCCACAAGGGAATGATTCGTGTCCACTCTCCACAGAGAAGCAGCAGCACTGCTTGGCACTGCCAGCTCAGGCGCAGGGCTGGGGCAGCAGCACACCCCAGCAGGAAGCAGCACAGGAAAGCCCCTTATGCAGTGCTAGCAGTGAGCAGGACGTACCCTGGCAAACAGGAGGGAACTGGTAGAGGGCACGAGAAGCTGCCCTCTTCCCAAGAGCAGGCTCTGCCAGCTGCTGGCGAGGAACTGGAAACTGGGACACTCTGCTTGGCTCTGTTACCTTCCTTGGTGGAACAGCCCTTGCATCAGTCAGCCAAAAAGAAGCAACTCTCAGCCAAGAGGCTTTACTGCCCAAGAAAGATTTGATTTCCCAAGCAGAGCTCCCAAAACACAAGTTAATTTGTGATCCCACACAGCAAGAGCAACAAAGGGAGACACTGACTCAGCTCCTCGTGGTCTTTCAGGTTAAACAAGTGTGACAGATGTCATACACGACACTGCAGTTATTAAACACAGAACACAAGTTTTCCCAAGAGGTCACAGACAGTTTCTTTACCTCAAGGTGAATTCTTGTCTCAAGTGGGAGCTCATTATGGATCAGGCTCGATTTAAATGCCTGCAGAGAGGCAGAAAGATTCCCACTGCCCCAGCACACCAGCCAGCCCTTCACAGGAGCTCTGCAGAGCCCTGGTGGCATTTCAGTGATGGGATGGTCACCTGGAACCTGATTCCTGACCCCCTCAAACACTGCCAAAGTTCTCAGCTATTTAAACAAACCTAACCCTGTCCCCAAGGGCAGCATCGTGGAGCACCC